GCACAAAAAATATAGTAGTGAATCTAAATAATAGAAATGATTAGACATGAAGATAATAAAATAACTAGCCTTCTTTCATCAATTAGATACATGCTTTATGCTTTGTTTGGTTAGAAAGAAGGAATGAGGAACAATGGAGGAAAAGACGGATAAAAGATGCTTCCATTGGTTGGAAGGAAGGTAAGAAAGGGAGGAATCAAGAAGAAATGAAACATTCTTTGTGACTCATGTTTTTTCATCCCTCCAAAATTATATGGAAGAGAGGAGGGAAAGAAAGAAAAACTACTGCATAAATATGGAATTCCATTTTTACCCTTCAATTATTTGCAAAATTACTTTGTTAAATCAAATTTTACTTAAAACATAGTAGCAAATTGATTTACGAGTTTTTGTGGGACAAGAAGTTCAATAATTCTTCTTAGGATATAAATATATATATATTTTATTAGTCTATATAATGAGGGTGTACTTGTAAAAGAACATAAAATATTTCCTCCCCTTCCTTCCAATTGAACAAAAAAATATGGCACCTCATTCATTCATTCCACTATCCTTCCCATTCAACCAAATAAAAAATGAGGGAGACACCTTCCCTTCCCTAGGGATGCCTCATCCCTCCCTCCCCCTCTCCCTTCAATCAATTTTTTAATCACTCCTACCAAAAGGAGAATTAATTCTGAAAATGATAATAATCGACTATGAAATAACAATCTTCAAAAAACAAAAGAAAAGTACAAGAGGAGTTCACTTTATAAATTCCATTTAAAGCAAACATGAATCTATTCCAACTTTTTTACTCAAAAGCAAAATGAGACTACTAAAAAAAAAAAAAAAAAAGAAATGCTAGAGAGATTGTTGAGGTAGTGGAAATGCATGAACAAATAAGATCCAGGGAATGCCAGCAAAGCAATCACACACAAGCATATAACGTGGTTCAACCAAAACAGGCTTACATACACGGATGGGAAGAGATTCCACTATGATTCGTAAAGATATTACAACAATAGAGTTCCAACACCACGTACATGTCTTTTCACCATATACCACTCCACGAGCATATCTCCTCACTACCAGTGTTTTCTGCTACTCTACCAACTCACATACTACCTCTACCCATCAACTCCCTTATGAGACTACATCTCTCTCAATCTCATAAGTCTCAACCTATAACCTAGATATGTATTTATAGAGTTCCAAACCCAATTCTTTATTGGACAAGGATTTCAATTTCTTAAAGCTTGCTTAATAAGAAATTTCATAATAGAATACAACTCCAAAATAGAAACCTAATTAGAATAAGAATTTGAGACACAATTTATAACAATCTCCACCTTGATTCAAATTCCATCCAGCCAATCATCACTTCTTATGACATTGATCATGACAATTCATTGCAGCTTTAATCATGACGATCCTTTTGCAAAAACTATCATTGTCTATAATGTACGTTACTCGATTCGTTAAACCTCCAAGGCTCCACATGGACTGCTAGATTTCTATGCTATGTAACCCATCACGATTTTCTGACCATCATGATCAACCAAGCCGATTTTCTGGATCTCCTTCACCTTTGGCTTTGATTTGTTGAGGCAGCGGAAATGCATGGACAAATAAGATCCAAGGAATGCCAACAAAACAGTCATACACAAAAACAAGTATAACGTAGTTCAGCCAAAATCGGCTTACATCCACGGATGAGAAGAGATTCTACTCTGAATCGTAGAGATATTCTAACAATAGAGTACCAACACCACGTAGATGTCTTTTCACCATGTACCACTCCAACAGCCTATCTCCTCGCTACCTGGTGTTTCTCCTACTTTACCAATACTACATCTACCCATCAACTCCCTCATGAGATGACATCTCTCTCAATCTCATAAGTTTAAACCCAAAACCTAGATATCTATTCATAGAGTTCCAAACCCCATTCCTTGTTAGACAAGGATTACAATTTCTTAAAGCTTACTCAACAAGAAATTTCCTAATAGAATACAACTCTAGAATAGAGACCTAATTAGAATAGGAATTTAAGACATAATTTCCAACAGAGATTGTTTTGATGCAAGCAATCTGATCTGTAGCCTTTTGCCTCATGAAATTTCTACTTTTGTTGCTTGCTTGAGACATGTTAACCCCTTGAGTAGATGGCAAATAAGTATTAGATGTTGCATTATTTAGAGAAGAACTTGAAGCGTCATTCTCATTGGTATGCAACCTTCTCTCTTTTATCCATGTCTTTCAAATCATTTTCATAGGCAATATCATCCCAGTTCTTGTAAGACTTCTCATACTCTTCCCTCTAACTTGTCAACAATCTATTATTGTAATGAACTTAAATTAATGATCTCAATTTATTTCTTTAGACACTTGGGATATACCCATAAGTACTTTATACTCTCTGTGCACATGATGTGTTTATACTTTAATATAACACCTTAATTGCTAAAGCATAAAGTCCAAGAATGGCAACACCATATAAGTTCCTCCAAGCTGCTGCACTCATCACTTCTTTATCTTCATTGATTGAGGTTGAGCAAAAACACCTTCACACTTGTGAAATCACTAAGTTGTTGCCGAATTAAAGTTGCATCTTGAGGATCTCTCACAAGTCGATCAACAACATTCAAATAGGCACCTTGTGCGAATGAATTAGCATAAGGCTGTAACATTTTCTTTCCATTTGGACCTATACTTGTCAACCAAGAGTTAAGGTAGTAAAAAGAGTAAGTGCACAAAATGAATCATTTCCAAATTGGTTTCGTGGATGATAGAATAAATTTTATACTTTCAGAACTCTTCATCCAACTATTTATTTATTTATTTTTTTATAATCTGATCATGCTCTAGCTTGGAGCTTGAGCTTCCTTTCTTAAGTGATTCTCACTCCTTATTTAAAACCATACTTATTAAGCATTTTTCACCCTAGAAAGACGAATTGACCGGGAGATAACCGAATTTTGGGGGGAGGGCATCTTAGGGGAGGAGGGGGTTGAAGTGGCTGATGATATGGTTGGGAAGTGGTGGTGGAGGACGGAGAGGAAGAGGAGGAGCTTGAGGCTGTAGATGGGTGGTGTTGACTCCATTTCAGTGTTAGGGTTAAGAACCAAATGATATGGTTTAACACTTTGTTATTGGCTAAGTTCGTGGGATCCTCTTCAGTACAACAGTGTCCAGTTTTTTCCATTTTAGTAAATGAACAGTATTAACTAAGGAGGGTAAAAATCTGTATAAGTTTTATACACAATTTTCGTATATATATAAACATTGTTGACAAATATGTATTCTCATTCCCTCTCTTATTTTCAGCAACCCATTTCAAAAAACAAATCCCGCCCATCTTTCTGCTCTCCCAAAATATCCATTCAGCCTTTGTTCTCTCCCAATATTCTCCCCAAATAAAAATAGAAGTAGTCTTTATTCTTTCCTAAAATTTTCATGCTTCGATTTGTTTCTAAATGGAAGCAAATGGAAGCAACGTTTCTTCTGTTCCAAAATATTCAGATTTCGATTTATTTCCAAATAAAAGCAGGACTCTATTTCTCCTTACCTGTGTTTCCAAATAGAAGCAGGACTCTATTTTTTCGTATAGTAGGTCATTTTTGTCCAAATTTAAAGTGGAACACTAGAGCAATGAGGCAGAAGAGGTACGATTTTTAATTTTTATATTTTATTCATAAGAAATGAATGGTAGAAACAAAAATAATTAGTAAGAAGAAAGGGACATAAGTGGAAAAAACCCAAAAATAGTAAATTAATGTTCTATTTTAATTGATCGCTGGTTAATGCGTAAACTTATTTGGTTTAAAGCAGATACAAACATCTCCAGAGGTCTCTTTAGATTTTCGATATGCTGGAGTGGAGGGTTTTATTGTGCACTTATTTGTGGGTTTTAATGTTTGTTTGTGAGGAGAAAAAATCAGAGAATTTGTAGAGTACATGAGTGGCCAAAAAATGAATGTGATAAGATGGAATAGAGTATTCCAGAGTACAATGTCTTACCATTCATTCATTGTTGTGGGTATTGGAGTGTGATTTAATTTAATTATCTTTTATGGGAAGAAAGTTAGCTTCTGTTTGTGGGATCAAAATTCTCTATGTCGCAAGAGTATATGTGTCACAGCCAGTGAGAAAAGTTTGGGATATATGTTAAGAAAATGTTAGGACGTTGGCCTTGTATTACAATATTTTCCTAAGGTGCATCCCAACTTTCTCCTAACATGCATCCCAACATTTTTGTAAAGTGCATCCCAACATTTTCATAACGTGTATTTCAAATTATCTTTATTTGTTTCGACGTTGGCCTTACATCACAACATTTTTCTAAGGTGCATCCCAACTTTCTCCTAACATGCATCCCAACATTTTCATAATGTGTATCTCAAATTATTCTCACTTGCTTCGACGTATGTTCTGTTGTGGCATAGAGGATTTTTATCCTAATTTGTGACATACTTGATTGATACGTGCTAAGAAATGAGTGAGATATACATATCAAATTTAATTGGTGACACATGTTAGAACATTCTTGGGATATACCACTTTAATTTTTTTTTTGTTAGTTCAATATTGTGCATATGTGAAAAGGTTTTGTATTTGAGCCGTTCAAATAGAAGGTGAAGTAAATAATATTCAAGACACAACAAATGGACCAAACGTTCTTGTTGTAAAGCCTGAAGTCATTAAATGGAAACTAAGGTTTGCTATGGAGTTTGATAGTGAAGAAGAAGCATAGAATTTTTACAATACATATGGTGGTCGAGTTGGTTTTAGCATCCGGAAGAAGTATGGTAATAAAGTTAATGGAAGAATCACATCAAGGTTGTTAGTTTGTAGCAAGGAGGGTGTTAAGGGGTCTGACAAACGGGATGTATTTAGAAAGACTCCCCGGGTTGAAACACGAACCAATTGCAATGCATGAATGCTTATTAGATATGATCACACTAAGGCAAAGTACGTAATTTCTAATTTTGTAGAAACTTACAACCATCCATTCATAAATGCAGCCACATAATACCCTCTTAGTGACGGATTATGTTGAATTGGCTTCAGATTCAGGAGTTGCGGCTCGTAATGCATATGAGCTGATAGGAAGGCAAGCTGGTGGCAAAGAATCAATTGGGTACTTGAAAGTGGATCTTAAAAATTATCTAAAGACCCGAAGACAAAAAGAGCTTATTTATGGAAAGGCGGGATGACTTGTGGATTATTTTAAGACGCATGCTTATGAAGATCCTTCGTTCTTTTATTCCTTGCAATTGGATACTGATCAAATTATTACGAACATATTCTGGTTAGATTCTAGAATGATCATTGATTATGGCCATTTTAGAGATGTTATCAGTTTCAACATAACGTACAAAGTGGTACACGACAATCGTCTATTTGTAATTTTCTTGGGTATGAATCATCACCGGGAGACCGCTGTGTTTGGAGCAGCCTTAATGTATGATGAGACAGCGGATTCATTTGTCTGGTTATTTGAAACGTTCTTGAAAGCGATGGGCAAAAAAGTGCCAAAGATAATTCTTACAGATCAAGATGTTGCAATGGCGAAGGCATTAAAGCAAGTGAATAACTTTCATGCATCTCCATTCTTATCACTTCGTATTATTATTTTTGTAATGTGTAGTTTTAATCACTATTTTGTAGTAAACTATGTAATATATATTAGTGTGAATAAGAATGTACATTATATAAATCCATTATTATGGATGTTGGTAGATGCTGAAACAGTTGTATTATTTCTATTTGCATTAGTGCAACACGGGTATGAAGTTCATTAATGTTACAGGTCATGTCCATGACGAAACATCATTTATGTGTTTGGCACCTAATACATAATGCACAGAAGCATCTACTGTTTTTGTTTAAACGCGTTGAAGGAATAAAGAAGGTCATCTCAAAATTAATGTTCCAAATTGAGGAGGAGGAAGATTTTATAAGGGAATGGGGTTTAATGATTACTGAGTATGGTGCTGCTGGTAACAAGTGGCTTTCCACTTTGTTAGGTTTGAGACATAAATGGGGCACTGGCATTTGTCAAACACGACTGGTCTGCAAGAATGCATAGCACACAATTGAGTGAAAGCTTCAATGGTCGATTGAAGTATTACCTTTCCAAACAACTTATTCTACCAGAATTCTTCACACACTTTGATAGATTGTTGTCTGACAAGCATTACAAGGAGTATGAAGCCGAGTATAGCTTGCTGGAGAGGCAACCGCAACAAAAAAAAAAATAAAGTGCCACATATTAGTTCAAGTGGGAAAGGTGTACACCAAGGTTATATTTTAGCTTTTCCAGGAGAAGTTTTTAGCTACTATTGCGAGCCAGGCTATTTTTAGTACCAGTGACATGGATAACAATAGACATCGTATTTATAAAGTTGCTGGTGAGGACGGGATGCAACATCGTGTGACAAGAAAAATGAATTGTCATGCTCATGTTGTAAATTTGAAACAGAGGGTTTTTTTTTGCGCAGGCCCACTTTGAAAATCCTTGAAGACAACATGTTTATGAATGAGTTGCCTTCTCGATATATATTAAAAAGGTGGACTAGAAATGCTAGAGATGATAGCTTGGACGAAATTCTTTCCACCGAAATGAATCCGGATCCTCAATTTGAGATAAGGTGACGACATATGAAACTTTTCCGTATACTGAAAGAAATATCTTCCATTGCATCGCATGATCCCGAAAGATATAATGATCAATTAGTAAAAGCACTCGAGTGGAAAAAAACAATACAAATAAGTTGTGGTCGTAGGTTTGCAAATAAAATTGCAAGTGGTAATGGGAAAAAAAGGTTAAAATCAACAATGGAACAATGCCCATGTCCCTGAAAATTAAAGATACCTCTAAAGGACTATTTCAGAGGCTAAAACCAGCCATAGAGGTAAACAGTGGTACAAGAAGGAAATCAATGAAAGCAGCAGGCAAGGTATACGTTATTATGTCACTCACTACTTGTAGAGTGTTACAGTATTTAAACATGCTAAGAAAATAATTTCGATTTCATAACATTATATCATTCTCCATAAAACACTTGTTAGTGGAAGTAAATAATATTTTTTATGTTTTAGATATCAAATGAAACCATTGTTTTGGGAGAGGTCGGTGGCAGTGATAGTCCGTTAATCCCGTATTACGTGTTAGTCAATGTGAGTATTATTGCAAGTATAATAAATATAAGAACTTAGTATTCATGACATTTGGTTAACATGTTGATTATGTTTAAAAGTTCATTTATAGTGTTCATATTACATTTTAGGGTTGTGAAATTCCAGTACAATTTCTGAATGATGAATCTTACGTAACACCACCAGCTGTATTTCACAACAGACAGCTTAATATTGGTGAACCCTGTACTTCATCAACTAACCAGGTAAGTGTGTTCATTCAGATGTATTTTTTACTTCCTACTTTAATATATAATATGAACATTATAAATTTTTCAGACTTATATTGGCGATCAAGCTATCTTTTCATCTCAACTATTCAATACTCCCTCTTCATATGATGAATCAAGTGCTCATCGTTTGGGAGGTGATGGGTTAATATTTCTTCCTTCTCCACTAATTTATTAAATTGTTCTGACTATATTAATGCGTATGTGGTGATTAAAATTAATTGGATTACATTTGTTGCTGTTATCATATTTGAAAACACCTATTCTAAACACCGGGCAAACGAATGTGACGCTAACATCTTAAATGGCAATATCGGTGATGAATCATCCAATTCAGCATCGACTCTTCGAATATTGAGAAGGAAGTTGTCACGTAATTGACTTTTCATTCATTTAGCTGCCAATTTACGTATGCACCCTTGTAACCTTTTGGACTTTTTGTACAAAGTTTTTGGCTTATTTCGGGTGTCATTGTTTTGGATTTCTATTACAAAGTTTATGGTTTAATTTGGGGATAATAGAAAATGTATGTCTTATTTTGACTATCACCATGTTTTGTAAATTGACTCTTCGAATATTGAGAAACAAGTTGTCATGTAATTGACTTTTCATTCATTTAGCTGCCAATTTACGTGTGCACCCTTGTAACCTTTTGGACTTCTTATACAAAGTTTATGTCAATGTTGCCCCCTATGTATTAACTAAACTAAACTACCATAAAAGGGGACTTAAATGGTGACTTAAATCGATAGAAGATGACGGTCATTTCGCAGTCCAATTCCCATTAACTTCCCTGTCATCAATATAAGTTGAACCAACATATACGTATATATTGTAAATCACATCCCAAGTAGTACGTACATATCGCCAATATAATTTGTATCAAACACCCAAACATAATCGTATTAACATATACATATGTATTGTGCACAACATCCTAAGAAGTACGTACATATCGTCAATAGAATTAGTATTGAACATCCAACATGATCGTACCAACATATACTTATGTATTGTACATAACATCCCAATAAATACGTATATATCGTGAATATAATTCGTATTAAATGTCCCAATATAATCGTACCAACATATACGTATTTATTATACATAACATCCCAAGAAATACGTACATAACATCACAATAATTACTTACATAACATCACAATAATTACTTACATAACATCCCAAGAAGTAAGTACATATCGTCAATATAATTTGTATTAAACATCCTAACAGAATCATAAATGGATTACTTAAATAGTCATAAATAGATTCAACTGCTACTCCCAGTTACAGTGCCAACCTTTATGAGAAGTCTTACAACCACCCACTAACATGTCGTCCTCTAGGGCAACGAATGGTGGACGACCCAACCAAGGAGGACGCATATTGAGAGACCCCACTCACAGTCCTTTTGCTCCTTGTCCAACATCACCCATTCTGGATCCTTCTTTAACCCTCCAATACCTACTGATGCGTATTGACTAAGCCTGATCACAGTTCGGATCGGATCGGTTTGGGGATAAAGTTCAAGCTGAACCGGTTCCCATAGATTGGTGAAAATTGAAACTAAACCGATCTGTAGAGGCCTTAGATCTCCAAAACAATATTATATCTGAAACTAAACCGATCCGTGGAGGCCTTAGATCCGGATCGGTTTCCACGGATTGGGCATAAAACAAACTAAAATCTAATCATTTAACTTACTTCGATATTAGATCTCCAAAACAATATTATATCTGAACCCAAAGTAAAAACTAAATATACCGAATAAAGGAATTCTGATCTAGAAAAATCAAAACAAGTTAGATCTGGAAAAATTTAAACAAGGAACTAAATATACCAAAGAAGGGAATTCAGATCTGGAAAAATCAAAACAAGGAATAACAAGAGTCACCAAGATGATAAAGATTTAGGACACCCAACAGTGCTTGTTAACAAAAAATCTATATCAAACGAACAAAACAAAATTAATTAACCAAGGAACATGATACAAGAAAATACAAAGAATGATATAATAAGAATTTACCAGCATATATAATTTTTTTCCCGGAAAGTAAAAGAGATTTATAGCAAAACAAAAAAAATAAATATAGATGTAGGTCTGATCCAGGCCGCCAAATCAAAAGGCTAGAAGCATCAGAGGGGGCAGACATGATGACCCTTCGTTCTCTGTGCACTTTACCATGCTTCCTTCATTCTTATATTCCAGAACATCGGCTTATTGTACACAGATATAGATCTCAACGATGATATATATATACAAGAGGAGAAAGACAGAGGCAAAGAGTGATGATTGAAGAGAGAGTCACAGAGGCGAAGAGAAGAGGGTACAGAGAGAAGACTGAAGAGAAGAGGCTGAGAGACGGAGGCGCGGCTGAAGTGTAATGAAATGAGATGAGAGTAAGATAGGGTTAACTTAAAAGAATAATGAATAAAAGAAAAAACAAAATACGGTGGTAAGTAATAAGTATATTTAATATTGTGTATATATATATATATATATATATATATATATATAATATATTAATAAGCAACAGTTCGGTTCGGATCGGTTAACAGTTCGGATCAGTTTTTTATGAATCCAATCTGTTAACCGAACCGCGAATACCGAATTCTAAATTTTACAAACCATCACCGAACCATGAGATCTGAAAACTGAACCGAACCACACGGATCGGATTGGTTCGGATCGAATTGCCGGATTATTTGCTCACCCCTAGAATTGACAACCTGGGCATTGACGTGGCTCGGCTTTGGAAGTTGACGAGGAGCTTACAACGCCGCTTGAGGAGGCTCGAACATGTCTCAAACGATGACAACTCCATGGTCATTGAAGTTCTAGACAATTCTGTCTCTACTACCTCAAGCGACTACGCTCCTTGAGGAAGGATTTGGAGGCTGCTTGTGAAGGACCCTTTTGCTAATTGGGGAAGTTACTTGTGAAGGACTTTTTGAAAAGTTTATATTTTGTTTTGCTGGGTGGAAGCTTATATGGACCTGTAGATTTTATATTATGTTTTTATATTTTTGTATGAAATATGTGTGTCTGATGATGTATTTTGTTGAATGATATATGAAGCCATATTTAAAAATTCACATTTTATTTATATATATTTTTGTACATATATACATGGGGGCAAAGCAAGGATTTTAATTAAGGTGGGGCATAGTGTGAAAAAAAAATGAATAATAATAATAATTTTAGGTAGTAAAAGAAGAAAAAGTAAAGAAAAATTACATAATTTTAGTACTAGAGAATGATAAAAGTAAAGGAATTTTAGTTTTTAAAGGAAATTAATGAAATTTAAAGAGAGAAAGAGGAAAATAATATTTTGAAAAATGCATGTGTAGATTCAATTTAAGTGTAGGGGCATTTAACTTCGTGAATGGCTTATTTAGGCTTAACTAAACTACCATAAAAGGTAACTTAAATTGATAGAAGATGGCGGTCATTTTGCATTCCAAATCCCATTAACTTCCCTGTCTTAATCGTATTCTATCCTAAGCAACATAAGCTAGTAACATAGTGTGGATAAGGTTACATCTGTTTTCATTACTTTAAAAGTTGGCGTGCCATTGGCAAATAAAGAGTATTATGTTAAATAGACAAGTATAATTAATACATTAAAGGCAAATGAAAACTGCAGACATAACA